TTGTATTATGCTGATTAAACCTTGCTTATTACAGTCTGAGCCTCTCTGGTGGTCTCTCTCTGGGGATAGTGATCTGGGCACAACATCCTCCACGGGTGTGCAGTGGCACACCCACACATGAGTCATACACACACACAATAACAACAACATTAAAGCCCCCAAATAGCAAAACCTAGTTCAAGCCACTCTCTCAGAGCTATCCCCAAGAGCACTCAGGAGACCCTGCTCTGCCATTGCCGCCACTAGAATTTCCCTGGCCATGATAAAGTGCTGCCTTGCCCTCCCCTACCCCTCCTCTCTCCTCCCCTGCCTTGCCCTTCCCTGCCCTCCTCTTTCCTCCTCTGCCTTACCCTCCCTGGCCTTCCTCTCTCCTCCCTTGTCTTTCCCTCCCCTGCCCCCCTCTCTCCTCCCTTGCCTTGCCCTTCCCTGCCCTTCCTCTCTCTTTTCTTTTTCTCCTCTCATCCAGAACAGAAATAGAAGCCAGCTTTCCCCTCCCCCATTCATACAAATTTTCATATACACAGAACACGGGTGTGCCAGGGTGATCTGAGAGGGTTCTAGCCCATTGTCTATACTGTGGTCTTTAAGTAGGTATGACTCCGTGGCTTACTTGGCACTCGCTTTCCTACTGAGCCACACCCCTCACCCTTCACCCCTCTCAAGTTTGAAGAGTAAGGGTAAGTCCCACAGCACCCTGACGTATTTTTTTTTTTTTTGATCAACATTTCATCATGAGCACAGAACTCACAGTGGACAATTCCTCCAGACTTCTTGCAATTTGCCTCATTCTCCAGACCAACAGTCACCGTTCCCTTGGCAGGAATATGAGGTCAATGTTCTGACACTAGCAAGCCCCATCACGGATATGCTGATTTAGCTCTTTGACGTCTTTACTTCCATCTCTGTCTCTGAATGTGTCCTCCTTTTAAATAGTACGTGCTCTCTATCCCTGTGCTCCCCAGAGGACCGAGAGGTCTGATAGCGCCACAGTTCCCACGAATGGATGTTTGCTGTTTATGTCTTTTGTGTTTGCTTCAATGAGTGTGTGCTGTGATTTGAACCCAATGTTTTTGCTGAGCTGAGCGTGCACACACACACACACGCACACACGCACGCACACACACACGCACGCACACACACGCACAGACAACCCTGCTCGTTGTCAATATTTGGGTACCATAGATTCGGTGTCCTTTGTCCTGGGGAACTGTTCTCACTCTCAAAGGCTCTTTGCCAGCCCAGAACCGCGGCAGCATTCGAGGGTTTTGCTCTCCGGCACTTATTCACTCCGGCACTCATTCACTCCAACTTTTATCCCCGCCACTGCTGTAAACTAAGTGTGTCACTTGTTCCGCCCTTTATGGCGCTGTACATACTTGCCTTCTTTACTGTTTGATTAGTTTTTTTTGGGTCTTTTGTTGTTTGTTTGTTTGTGTTGTGGAGGGTTGAACCCGAGGCTAGGTTCACCAGTGCTGGGCAAATGTCATGGGACCACGTAGTAGCTACTGACTTTCTTTTGTTCTGGTTTTTTTTTCATTTTTATTAAGATTTATTTATTTATTATGTGTACAACATTCTGCTTCCATGTATGCCCACACACTAGAAGAGGGCGCCAGATCTCATTACAGATGGTTGTGAACCACCATGTGGTTGCTGGGAATTGAACTCAGGACCTCAGGAAGAACAGTCAGTGCTCTTAACCTCTGAGCCATCTCTCCAGCCCCGTCTTTTGTTCTGTTTTTAAGATAGGATCTCACTTTGTAGCCCAGGTTGGCCTTAAACTTGTGATCTTCTTGCCTCAGCCTTCCTAATGCTGGAATTATACAGGCTTGTATCAAGGCTCTTAAAATTTAGGCTTCGTTCCCTGCCCTTAGATCATCTGGAAGTTTTTATCACATTCTGTAGGGGTATTTTGTTTGTGACCTAACAAAGCTTCTCTGAAGATCAGCGGTGTGGGAATTCATTCAGCCAATAGCCTTCTGGGTACCCGCCCATCAGGGCGTGGTCTGAGGTACGATCAGAGCAGATGGAAAATGCTAGCAATCTCTCTTAGTGCGTGGTCTAGATTCTGTTCACAGCTCTCTGCGCCCACAGAGCTGAGGACCACTAGGGCTTTTTGATTGTGAGTGTTCCCTAATAAACTCTTTGTTATCTTTTATCATGGGCTCTTGTGGACTTCTTTAATTACGCCTACGTAAAAATTCAGAGTTTCTGTCTCCTATCAGGAGAACCACCTGGTGTGGATCAAAAGGAAGATAAAAATCTAGAGACTAAGGTTACCAAAACTCTGCTTTCAAAAATTCTACTTCTCCTCATACCGATTTTTGTGTATATAGTACCTTTCTCTAAATGATGTCTATTGAAATTCAAACTTTCTGTTTTGATATAAATAATGTTTAAGTTTTCCACAGTAAACAAGACATTTTTCTACAGCAATCTCTGAAATCTACAAAAAGAAGATGCAGCCTCACAACAATAATTCCACCTGATTCACATGATGCCATTAAGCCGAAAAACACCACTCAAAGATCGGTTTTGGGCTACAAACTGCTCAAGATGATTCCAATGTGGCTAGCTGAGATGGTGCACCTTCTTACAACATTCTGGCTAAAACTTCAAATAAGAGCTAAAAAAAAAAAACCAAACCTACAGACTACTCAGAGACTGTCTACAACTGAACCAGACAGTAATCTTGAGACTTTACCATCATTTAGTTTTTGCAAGATCCCTTAGAAATAACATCGCCCCCATGACAGCTGAAAGTGAATTTAAAAAAACGGTATCCCCTCTCCCCAAAAAATTTGTCCTTAGGGTTAGGAACAATTGTCATCTGTTAGGGGTTGGTTATAAGTTGTATGGGGTTGTGGATATAAATGAAGTAGGCTCAGGGATCTCTTTTGGGAAAGGAAAAAAGGGGAATGGGATGGGATAATAGGTAGATTAGTGTTATCAACTTATAAACTATTAGTTATAGACAATTTACATTGGTATAGATTCTTGTATATTGATACCTATGTAAAATTAGCTTTATACTCCTGTATAAGATAATTTGTATATTGATACAAATTCAAATTATATTTGTTATATTGAATATGCTCTTATTTCTGTTTATAATATTTGTTACATATGCAAAGTTATTTTATCATATTGTATGCATGCATGTTTCTACCTCTACTTAACATATTTTGTATATTGATACAATTTTAGGATATGCTTATCATATTTTTCATACATTTCTGCCTCTGATCAAGATATTTATATAGTTCACATTTTGAGGTCATGTCCTCATTTGCTACATATTTGTTTAAAGGTTGTTTAATTTTATAATGTTAAGTCTTAGTATTTAGACTATATAGGTATTAAAAGTTATAGGTCAATGGTCACCCATATTTGTCATACTTTTAGTTAGGCTAATTAGGTTTTCTAGATGCACAGAGATTGTACTTCACATAGATGGGTAATCTTCAAACATTCCAAAGAACTATAGACTATGACATTTAAATAACTTAGGATTCTGTTGACACAACTGCTCTTGGCAGCACCAATCTATTCCCAAGAAAATGTTGGGAACCAAAGGCACTCCACTTGGAGCTTGTTTTCTTCTCAGCAAAACTGGCCTTTGAGCAAAGAACTGCCCTTGCCTTGATTACTGACAAAGTACACTCTGTTCAAACTGGACAAGCAGGATACAAACAAAAACGACTGCCAAATGTTGCCAAGACAGAGTAGGACAGTCTTTCAAATGTTCCTGCCTCTGAAAATGGTCTGTGAGATATTCTAGGCCTTAGCCAAAGTTGGTTGTCACAGCAGTGCAAATGAGACTTTAGGGGATTGCCTAGGTAGCCAGCTGTCTCTATCATTTCTTACACTGTTTGGAAGTCACTTTCTTGCACTTCCTGCTTAGTCAGGTAATATTATATTCTGCTAGGCCTCCTTATTCCCCAGGGAAAGATGAGTGTTCTATCTTCCCATTCCACAGCCCCACTAAGCAGGATGATCAGATGCTAGAGGGAGTCAAGTCAAAGCAGGAACTCAGTTTATCACTGTGAGCTTCAGCTTATACAGGTTAAGTGACATCATGTGATATGGGGGTACCTTCAGCCAATGAGAGACAACCAAGCCCTCCCTCTGGCTGGAGGGGCATCTACCTAGATTTTGCTGTCTCGTCCTCACTGAGTAGCTTTGACTACCCCTCAAACTCGAGCCAGGCTTTTTTCTGTCCTACAGGCCTCAAGGTATAGGTCCTGAGATAATTTTGCCCCAACACATTTTACATTTACAGGAATGTCATGACACACTTGTGGGAGTCAGAGGACAATTTGTAGCAGTTGTTTCTCTCCTCCCACTGTTTGGGTTCTGGGAATTGAATATAAATTATCGATGTTGGCTATGAGTACCCTTACAGACTGATCCATCTGGTCAACTTCTTAATTCTTTACATTAAATTCTTTCTGTTGTGAGTTCCCTCCCACAGACACATATGGAGGTTTGCATAACAATGAAGATAAATCCTACTGTTTGTTGTTACTGGGAAACTCTCTGGGAAGATAGGAATGTGTGCCCAAAGAAATCTTTTGTGGTCTATACTTCAAAGACCAAGTCTTGGAAAAGATCATCTATATCTCTGAATGGGTTGTTGTTTACCATCTCTTTGCCTATGTAATAATTTTATATGGATTTGTTATCTGTGATTTTCCTTTGATTACCCATAATGTTTACTGAGAGATGATTTTTATTCTGTACATTTTATAGGACAATGTAATAAACCAGTAACTATTCCTTAAAATAGTCAGACTTTTTATTGTAATAAAATACAGATGTGTGCCAACTCTTGAATGGGTTGTTTTTCTTTGTGTTGCTGGTTTTTAGCACATTGATTTTGGTCTCTTATTGGTACCTCAAGAGAGGCATCTAAGGATACCTGGTGTCCCTTTTGTGCAAAGCCCCTCCCAAAGGGAGCCAGAAGAGGGATTGGGGCAAGTAGAAAAGATATAGAGAGCCAAGAAACAACATGAAGCTTTATTGTTAGTTAGAACTCAGGGAATCCTAGCAATTCGAAGCATCATTCTGGACTGGACCTCTGGATAGGGTACAGGTAGTGCGTTTTTGGCTGCCTGTTCCTGGATGCTCAGGATACGGCCATGGGCCTGCTGACACAGATTGGCACCCAAGAACGCCTCCACCCGCGCTCGCCATGCTGTCAATTGTGGCCGTCCCTCAAACAGATTATAGCCAAGAGCCACCGGCTGCAGGGACAAAAATGTGAAAGTTGGAGAGCTAATGAGACCCCATTGCTGGCGACTCAGCACAGGCGTGATGGACACAGCCCCATGGGAGGTCCAGGGCAGTGTGATCCATTCCAAGACCTGACAGTAGTCAGAAGCTGCCTCCCACCCAGGCAGGAAACAAGTCACCCAGGGTCTGCTCTGTGATTCTGGCTTTTCCCAGGTCACAGTGCTTCTGACTTATGGAAGTGGCAAGAAGAAGGGTCCAGCCCTTAGCTACTCTTCCACTCACTGGTCTCCTACCTGCATCAGCTCCTCCAGACACATGAGATCAGCCACCGTCACCTGATAGCCAGTAAGGAAGGTCCCATCCCCAAAGAACTTTTCCTCCAGACGCTGCAGAGATTCGAACATATTCTTTCGGTTCCGTTCTACTTTCTCCTCTGGAATCTGGGTCCCAATGAGTGGCCCCAACACCTGACAGAACAGCAGAAGTGCTCCGTATGTAACCTTGACTCATATCGGGTCGATCCCTCCCCAGAGAACCCTGCACACCTTGGTCCACAGGGGCACTCCAAAGATGCCACGGATGTTATCAGTATGCCAACCTAGATACTCATGGACTCGGGCACGGGCTTGCAGGTCAGCTGGATACCAGTGGTCTGCCACCTGGTACTTGGAACTCAGGTATATCAGGATGGCTGAGCTGGGGAACATGGGAAGAGGGGCTGTAAGGACCTTGGCTGTTTTCCCATTCTTCGGTGGGACCTTGGGGAGTCTCACATTTGAAGTACTTTCTTCTAGTCTCCTCACCTATCTCTCTAGCTGCTCAATCTTTCTTCTCTGCGAGTGGAACCCACTCCCTCCCCACCCCCCCACGGCAAGAGCTCCTCCAGAGCTTTTGTCATTAGACCAGTGGGAGAACCAGCCAGCGCCTGGAGACCTGGTCCCCAGAGCCAAGCCTTTAGCAGTTTAGACAGGGGACTTCAAGCCTTCATTTTTGAATCTCCATTTCGTGTACCCCTGGAAAATGTCCCCGTTGTCACCTTTCAATACCCCTCAGTCATGGCGGTGAGGTCTGAAAGATGGGGTGTGGGGAGGTGGGGGTGGGAGTCCAGCAGAAGAAACGGACAGGGACTGGGATATACTGGATCAGCCCCCAGTCATCCTGTCCTTATTCACAGACTGTCTGCTTTAGCTTCCTCCGCTCACAATCTGGGGTGGGTATCAGTCAGGCTAAGCCCTCTCCCCGCGCCCCCGCCCCCACCTCATCGCGACCCGCAAGAAGCGAGAGGAAGTGGCGCTGTGCTCTGGGTTTATTTACAGTTGCACCTTTCGGTCAACACGAAATTTCCGTCTTTGAGTACAGGAACTTTCCGCTGGCAGTTCAACTGCAAGAATTGCTCGCTCACGTGTTGCCCTGGGACGGAAGAAGCCAGAAAATGTCTTCTAGGACTCAGGCAGTACCTCTGTATTTTCCCTCTCTCTTTGCAACCAGACAAGGCTAGAGCGACCAATGCCCGGACTGGGACCAGGGGCACAGAGGTGGTTCAGCTATGTGTTTCTGTAGGAGCCAGCGATGGTAAGCTAAATAGAAACAGACCACCCAAAGGAAGTTCTTTACTTCCAACCATTATCACCTGCCAGAGTAGGTCTCAGCCATCAATAAGTTTTAAGGATGCCTGAGTTTTAGTAATTTACCCTGAAGCAACCTGGTTGCAGGAAGGACCATAAATTACTGAGATTACCTGAGCACCCAACCAAGAACAGACCATCCAAAGAAATGCCTAACCTTCCAACCAACCACTGTAGACAGGATCACCTGCCAGCACACTCACCAGGACACCCCTTACAAATGTCAGCCAATCAGTAGTCCTAAAACCTCAGAAACCCCTCACCCCCACCTTTACTACTATAAAAACCCAACTCAACTGAGCTCGGGGGTTCTCCGTTTATTCCAATACGTTGGACATGCGGAGAGACTGAGTTTGCAAACTTGCATAAAATAAAGGCTCTTTGATTTTACATATGGGACTCCTTGTTGGTTTTTGAGGAACTTCACCCATCTGGGTGTAACAGTCTCTTCCCTGCAAAATCTCCGGAGTTTTGTTAATCTAAATGTCGCATACCTTCAAAGCAGGAACTCTGCAAATCTTTCGTTTCCTCCCCTCCATCCCAGGGCAGAATTCAGGTTTAGAGGGGCCACTCCAAATAGGGCATTCCCTGGTGAGGGCACTGGGTGATGAAATGATGGGGGGGACTGTACCCATAAAGAGTGAAGGGCTGACATGCTCTAGGCGTAGATGGGCACCAGGCTCAGGCCAACCTTTGAGTAAATCCACGGTGTGCAATTGGAAGGGGATGCCGTTCTTCTTGGCGAAGATGTAGACGGCGCGGCAGGGTTGCGACAGGAGGTCGAGGTAGAGCTTCAAGCCCATGGCGGCAGCGGCACGGATGGTGCGGATAGTCTGCAAAACCAGCACTAGCAAGTATAGGCGATTTCGCTAATAAGGTGTCCAGCTCAGTCTCGGTGGGCCAAGCCTGACACGTTCCCCCTCCTACACAAATGACGCCTGTTGCTCTTGGGGGAGGGAGCTGCTTCGGCGGACTTTGCACAGAAAGGGGAGCGCGCCTTTGGGCAGAAGCTCTTGGCTCTAAGCAGTTGTGGAGCTAGAGATCCAACCCAGAACTTTAGAGTCACCCGGAGCGGGAAATAACCAAGCCCTGCTTTTCTGGTCTGAGCCCCAGAGAATGCTGTGGACTGGACGTGCGCTCCGCTCCCAGTTCTCGTTCTCGGTTACTGCTGGAGGGAAGAAGGGAATCCTCATCCAAGGAGTGCAGCTTTGTCGCAGGCTGCTAGGAACGTTACCTTAAGGCAGAATTGTTTAAGTGTCAGCTGCCCCTGTAGAGCAAGCAGGTCGTCCAAGAACAGTGCATCTCCTCCATCAGTCCATGAAATCTGAAAGGCTGTGCGCCATGACTGAGGGAGTAGTCTCTCTCTCTCTCTCTCTCTCTCTCTCTCTCTCTCTCTCTCTCTCTCACGCGCGCGCGCGCGCGCACACACACACACACAACTTCACGTGTGGCATCTTTCATAGTGATGGTCCAACATGGTCACCGACTTTATCTGAATCTTTTAGAATAGCTGTGGCCTGTGGCCAACATGGGGAACCAAAATGCTTCCCTAAGAGTTTATTTCCACTTATTTATTTCTTTTTTTATTTTTGGACACTGGAGGATCTTGGTATGTTGCCCAGGCAAATCTCAAACTCTTGGGCTCCATTGATTCTCTTCCCTTATTCTCTTGAATAGCTAGGACTCCAGGGGAGACTCACCCTGCCCGGCTTTTCTGAAAATTTTTACGTTTGTTTGTTTGTTTGATTGATTGATTTGGTTGGCTCTTTGGGGTTTTTGAAAACAGGGTATTGAAAAGTTTTTACGGATCGATAAAGCTCCAGTAATCCAAAAGTAATCCAAATCAGACCCAGTCAATAACCCAAATCAGACCAAATCAAACCGAATTAGAAAAGGCCCAGGTTTAATGGATGCCAGCACTCCCTTGTGGCCTTCCAGCCCCCAGGGATGGAGACAGAGAAGGAAGACTCCAACTGGGGGGAAGTTTAAATAGGCTATGGAAGTGATCTTGAGCCACTCTGGGGAGGGGTTACCGTTTGACAGGCTTTTTTGGAGGTGGAGTCTGGATTGAGGCAACTCCCAGAGGAGGGATCTTGGGATAGAACTTTAAACCCAAATATTTTTAGACTCCTTGGATATGTGAATGCCAGGGGCTGGAGTGAAGCCTGAACCCAAACATTCCAGACTCTTTGGGCATAAGGATGTTAGGGGCTGAGGTGATGCTTCCAACCAAACAGCTATCACGCAGTTCAGGTTGACTTCCAGTTTAAAGCCCAGGGTGACCTTGAACTCCTGATCCCCCCCTCCCCCAGTTTCCATCTCCCAAGTGCCAGGACTACAGGCATTTGCCACAGCACCAGACTTACTCACTCTGATAGTTTTGAGTTGCAATTCAAAGACAACTAGGGGCTGGAGTAGCCTGTGGTGACATTTCCAGAATTTGATGGCAGGCTGGCCTGAGGAGAGGTGACCACAGAGAAAAGGAACACTGGGGAGGGTGTGGGTGGGGCAGAAGCAGCCTCAAACTGTAACTTTCTCAAGTGCCCCTGGCTCTCCCCTCCCACTGTCCGACCAGTTTAAAGTCAGATTTCCCCCACCCCTTTTTTTCTAAATAAGTTGGTGTGTTTTTGACTCTCTCTCTTTCTGTCTCTCTCTGTCTCTGTCTCTCTCTGTCTCTGTGTCTCTGTCTCTGTCCCCCTTCCTTCCTTTCTTTCTTTCCTTTTTCTTTTTCTTTTTCTTCTTCTTTTTTTTTTTCCTTTTGGAAAAGAATTCTGAAAAACACAAAGCAGTTCCCAGAGGAGCCCCTCTGAAGCCCTGGAGGGCTCAAGGTAGGTTCATGCAAATTCCAGCTGGAAGAGTGGACAATCCCTCCAAGATGTCTGTATTCTTCCAAGGAGATGAAATAGCCCTCTGACTCTGTTTGCTCATGGAAGTTTCCTGACCTTGTTCTTTTCAGGTCATGATGAGCAGATTTCCCTTAGGCCAGACATCCCTTCTCACTAACTGGATCAGATATGGCTCATGAATGGATGGGCCCCTGAATGTCCCTAGCCTTCACTCTGCCTGACCCTCCTTCTCTGGGCTCAGACACTTGGTTTGCTAGTGTCCCTAAAGTCGCCTCCAGCACTGGCAAGGAACTGATTTGGGTACCTCATTCTTCACTCTTTCCCTCTATTCTGGTGACTTTTCTCAGTAAATTCTTCCTTGAATCTTGACAAAAAAGAAATGCCCATTTCTGCCACTTTCATCCCCTTGACCGTTAGCAGCTTCCATCTTCTGGTCAGACACCTACAGCCAGTGTGGTGGCTCAAATGGGAAATGCGCCCCCATAGGTTCACGTATTTGAACACTTGGTCCCCAGTTGGTGGTCCGTTTTTGGGGGAAAGGTTATGTAATTTTTAGGGTGTGGCACCTTGCTAGAGGAAGTATGTCAGTGGAGGCGAGCTTTGGAAGCTTATAACCCCACCCCCTTCTAGTTCAATCTCTGCTGCCTGTGGTTGGAGGCGTGGTCTCTCAGCCTCCTGCTCCAGCTGCCACTGCCACCATGCCTCTCTCACCGTTATGGACCCGAACCCTCTGCAAACATAAGCCAACATTTCTTCATTTCTTTTGGGCGTGCTCTTTATCACAGGAGCAGAACAGGAACTGATAAGAGCCGCCATTGCTCTTGAGCGTCTGACATCATTTTTAAATTCCAAAAGTGCATCTCTATCGAAGGACCTCCTGTTTGCCATGTTGTCTTCTTTTCTCCAGACTTCTGTTCTCCGTACTTAAAGTATTTGGATTTTAGCATGTTCTCCTGTCCAAGGATAAGAAGCTGTGTTTTCCTTTGATGGAATGACGTCGTACTGCTGGCGTTTGTGATATTAAACACTTGCATCAATTCTATCATGGATACAGAGTTACAATCAACAAAAAAACACAAAGACAATTTTCTTGCTGGACATGTTGGTGGAGGCTGTTCATTCTTTCCCGGCTGCCCAGACTCTAAATAATCACACAGAAACTATATTATTTGCAATACTGTTTGGCCAATAGCTTAAGTATATTTCTAGCTAGCTCTTATATCCTAAACTAACCCATCTCCCTTAATCTGTGCATCACCACAAGGTCGTGGTCTACCAGCAAAGTTTTGGTGGGCTCCAGCAGAGGCATCTGTCTCCTATGGTGGCTACATGGCTTCTCTTCAACTCTGCCTTTTTTCTCCCAGCATTCAGTTTAGTTTCCCCACTTAGCTCTATTCCGTTAAGCCACTGGCAGAAATAGCTTTATTCATTAACCAATAAATGCAACACAAATACAGAAGGATTTCTTACACCACTGGGCATTTGCCTACAGACTTAGCAGCAAATCCTACATTTGCTGGTTAACATCACAGGACCTATGGAAGTTCTAGGTTGGAACTAAAACCAGGAACTGGATGTGGGCCCGGGAAAGACTGCGCAAAAGCCAACACTAATTCTTTTGAACAGGATCTCTTCACATCCACATTTTCACGAGGTCTCACAGGATTCCCAATGTTTATATACACTCTGCTTTTGTTTTGGTGACACCTGTAGCCTAACTTACCTTGAATCCATAGGTTCCTGCCCCTACTTTCAAAGTGCTAGGATTATAGATAGCACCGTTCTTCTCCAGCCACCTAAGTAAGATTTTATATTCGTGTTACAATCCTTAGGAAAAATGATAATCCAGCTTCACTAGTGAGAAGAGAGGCGGAAATCAACCCCCAATGGTGTCAGATACGGATGTTAAAAGTGTTGACTAGACAATAAGTACAAAGGATGGGGCTAAACACACGAGCAAGAAGCAAAAATATTGAAAAGTCTCAGATTTGACTTCAAAACAGATACTGAGACAGATTTTTAGAAATATGGAGTTTGTTCACAGAATTATTAGGGACTAGAGAGATGGGTCAGAGGCTAAGGGCGCCTGCTGTTCTTCCAGGGAACCTGGCTTTGGTTTCCAGCACCCACGTACGTACTGGTTTATAACTGCCTGTCACTCCAGGCCCAGGGAATCTGATACCCTCTTTTGGCCTCCTCAGGCATTGCAGGTACTTGGTGCACAGACATACACACAGGCAGAATACATGTAAAAATAAATAAATTCTAAAATATTTTAAAAGAAGTCATTAATGCTTTGGCCTATCTAAAACACTCCCTATGTTTCAGTGTCCTTCTGGAGCCTACACCCAAGATGTATCTTTCTTTTCTTTTCTTTTTTTTTTTTTTAAAAGATGAAACACTGGAGTCATTTTTTAAAAAGATTTATTTATTTATTATGTACACAGTGTTTAACCTCCATGTATGCCTGCAGGCCAGAAGAGGGCATCAGATCTCATTACAGATGGTTGTGAGCCACCATGTGGGTTGCTGGGAATTGAACTCAGGACCTCTGGAAGAGCAGTCAGTGTTCTTAACCTCTGAGCCACCTCTCCAGCCCCCAAGATGTATATCTTTCAAGCATCTCAAAAAGACATTGGAGATTTGAAAATGAAACAAAAGCAAGTAGAAGTTCTAGAAATAAGAAAAAAAACTGTCATTACTATAAAAATAAAAGAGAAATGATGAATGAAGTAAAAGACAGATCTAAAGAAACTACCCAGAATGTAGTAGACAAACGGGGAGTGAAAGAAAATTATGAAAGGAGAAATGTAGAGACAGACATATAGAATGGGATCTAACTTGTACCTCATTGAAGTTCCAGGAGAAGAGAAAGAACCAGGAGAGGTACTGCTGAGGCAGGATTTTGAAAATACTTAAGAAATAGAAACTTTCAAATGAAGAGTGTAGGGGACAGCTAGGAAAGAAGAATTTTGTAGCAAGATTTCTGATTGACCAAAGAAGTAGAGAAGTCAACCACTAGTTCTTGTCTCTATGAAATCCTCAGACTGAATGGGGTATCTTGCCTCTACAAGTTCTCGGACTGAATGTGCTGAGTTCCTGTCTCCTCCCACCTTATATTCCTCTTCATGCCCAGCCATATCTCTCCTGTCTCCACCTCCCTAGTGCTGGGATCAAAGGTGTAAGCTCTGTTTCTCTTTTAGACTGAGTCGATCTTGTGTAGCTCAGTGTGGCCTTGAACTCACAGAGATCCATTTGTCTCTGTCTCCCGAGTGCTGGGCTTAAAGGTGTGTGCCACCACTGCCTGGCCTCTATAGCTAACTAGTGTGGCTAGCTTCACACTCTGATCTGCAGGTGTAATTCAGGAAGTACATGAGAACTCATGACAAAAGATAACAAATTTTATTGCTATAAAATATGAAAACCGTTGTGGTCCTCAGCTCTGTGGGCACTGGGAGCTGTGAACAGAATTGAGATCACCAACTAAGAAAGAACATGAGTGCTTTTGTCTGACTTATAGTACCTCAGACCGCGCCCTAATGGGCCAGTATCCAGAAGGCTTATTGCTATTGGCTGAAATGAATTCCCACACCTCCCCCTTTTGTCTAAATAAATGGGTTTTAAACTTAACACAAAACTAAATACAATAAGAACAAATATCAAGTATTGTCCAGGGAAAAGGAAAAAACACACAAAAATATAACTACAACCAATATGAACAACATCAAACAAGAAACATAGCTAAATGTCCAGTCTAAGGTAATTAACAAATAACAGAGGTCATCCATAGCTGTCCTATACTTAGGAGTGTAAGTCTTACACTAAAATGCCTTAGCTAAGTTATGGGAGAAAAGTAGCTATGACTATCTAGTCTTTAACCCATCAAAGATCTGAAAAGGGAAATTGTTGGGCCAAAATTATCTCAGGGCCTGTACCTTGAGGCCTGTAGGACAGAGAAAAGCCTGGCTCGAGTTTGAGGGGTAGTCAAAGCTACCCAGTGAGGATGAGACAGTAAAATCTAGGTAGACGCCCCTCCAGCCAGAGGAAGGGCTTGGCTGTCTCTCATTGGCTGAAGGTACCCCCACATCACAAAATATCATTAAGTGTATAAGCTGATGCTCACGGTGATAAACTGAGTTCCTGCTTTGACTTGACTCCCTCTAGCATCTGATTGTCATGCACCATGGAACTGCAGAATGGGCAGATAGCGCGCTCACCTTTTTCTGGGGAACAAGGAGGCTAAGGAGGCCTGGCAACTGGTGCCGCCGGAAGGTGGAGTGGCTGGTCCCTGAGCAAAGCAGTTGTCAAAATGAGTGGGACCCCATAATGGGTACCGCAACTTCACACAAAAACGATCCAGTGCTTAAGGCGGGGGGGGGCACTCCCAGAGTGTACTCTCTAGTCGATCAAACAGCTGATGTGATCATAAAAATCAGGGACACGTCCCTCCGACATCATGGAAAAGATCCCTCTAAATTAATAATTCCATTCAAAATTAAGGATTTAGAACGGGCAGCCAGACATTGTTCTCTGTTGAGCCTTTCCCTGGAGAGATTTCTGGGGACCCCGAACACCCACTTTGGGGAGTCCCAGTTAGTGAAGCTATATCAAGAACTACACTGGAGTGTTCCCTTATTCTTTCCTTCTAGGCCCCTGCCCCAAGCGTTCACTGTTTGCACAGATGGCGAAAAGAATGGGGCTGCCTTTGTAGTTTTCCCTGCAAGGGGGACCAAGATAAAGATGACCAAAATTCCCCCTTGTGGGGGATCCACTCAATATAAGGAAACAATGGCCGTATATATTGCTCCACAAGAGGTGCCAGAACCCTGCAACCTCTATTCAGACAGCTCTTATCTGGTGAACCTACTGCCACACTTACCCTATGCCTGTATCAGATTGGATGCTAATCCTATTTCTGCCTTGATGATACAACTCGGATCACTCTTAGAAGGTAGACAAAATCCCACGTATATTCAACATTTCAGAGGACATCAAAACCTCCCTGGCCTCATTTCCCAAGGGAATGCTGCTGTGGATGCTGCAGCTTCAGGGACCTGTCTCATAGAGGTCTCAACTCTGCCGGTACAAAATGCTACCCAAATGCATTACTTAACTCATGTCAACTGGAGAGGACTCAAATACCTATACTACCAGATCCTCACAACAGAATTAAAGAATTGTTTATACATGTAAGACTTGCAAACAGTTTCTCCGCATCCCCCTCCCTCCCCCCGCCATTTTACAAGGGCCGGGGGTGAACCCAAGGGGGTTAGAACCCAATATCATCTGGCAAACGGATGTAAGTACTATGGAGAGGGCATTGGTTCCCACGCAATGGGGAGCGGCCTGGGTGTGTGAGTCAGGGATAGGCCCTGACTGCCAGACTGTGGTTCAGGTTGTAGGGGTGGGAACAGCAGAGGACAGGGCAGTCCACGAACTATCACTGGTTATAGCTCCTCAAGGAGGAGGAGGCCAGCGTCTGAGGGTCTTCAAGGCCATTGTTACATCCCAGTCCATCATTAATCATAAATACCAGAGAGTGATCTCCTGGGTCTGCTCCTGTATGAAGAAGGGTGCAGGCTGGCATGGTAACTATGTCCAGAGCATTTTTTAAAATGCCCTATGAGGACAGGTATGGGGAAAAGATATAGCATCACAGGCATCGAGAGACACAGGGGAGGAGTCCAGATTGCGTTCATCTTTCCATCGCCTGCTGACGGGTGCTGGCTGTCTCTAAAGAGAGCTGGGCAGACAGGCCACCCTGATCACAAATCCCCAAGTCCCCTTGCAGGCCACTAGGAACCCCAACTGAGTTCAGAGCAGCCATGCAGCCTTCTTTGCTCTTGTCCTTCTTAGGCTGACTCTCAGGTGTTTTTGTTTTTTTTTTTGTCCCTGGCAGTCAGTGGTCCCCTTAGATCTTGGAATTGTTCTCTGCCTGGGGCCTCAGGAGGGCTCAGGGATGCATCCCTCCCCTTTGTTAGCGTCTGAAGAATGGGAGGGCAGCTGCAACATGCTGTTGGGACAGCTGTGGCTGGGGACCTTTTGATCACAGAGCCTTTGTGTGATTCTCTCTCCAGAAATCAGGCCATCCTCCCACGCAACTCACTCCAGAGTTGATTAACCACACAGGCAGCTAATCCTAGTTTGCTTTCTGTTGCCGTGATAAAGATGACAACCTAAAGGAGCTTGGGGAGGAAAGAGTTGATTTCATCATACAACTCATAGTCCATTATTCAGAAAGGCCAGGAATTCAAAGGCAGGAATCTGGAATCTAGAACGGAAGCAGAGGCCTTGGAGATACACTGCTTACTGCTTTGCCCCCTCATGGCTTGCTCAGTTTGCATTCTTATATTACCCAGGACCCCTTGCCCAGAAGAACATGCCCTCCCACATCAATCATCAATCAAGATAACAACCCACAGACTTACTTGTGTGCAGGTCAATCCGATTGAAGCATTTTCTCAGTTAAGGTTCTGTCTTCCCACATGACCCTAGCTTGTGTCAAGTTGATCTCTCCTCCCTAAAAGGAAACTAAACCCCTTTCCAGCAAATAGATCTTGTCTTAGTTAGGGCTTCTGTTGCTGTGAAGAGACACCATGACCATGACAACTCTTATAAAGGAAAACATTTCTTGGGGCGGGCTTACAGTTTCAGAGGTTTAGTACATTATCGTCATGGGAAGCATGGTGGCATGCAGGCAGACATGGTGCCAGGGAAGGAGCTGAGAGTTCTACATCCACATCCAGAATGGTAGGCAGCAGGAAGAAAATGCCACACTGGGCATGGCTTGAGTATCTGAGACCTCAAAGCCCACCACCAGTGACACACTTTCCCCAACAGGGCCACCCCTCCTCCAATAAGACCAGACCTCCTAATAGTGCACTCCCTATGGGCCTTTGGGGCCCATTTTTATTCAAACCACACTTAGCTGAGTACTGTCCCTCCCCCTTGCGACAACAGTTAAGCCCAGCTGCCTGATAGGCTAACACAAAAGAACCCTGACTTTTATCTAGTGCCTTCCTTCCATGTGACTCTTGACATGTAGACCAGACTGTTGATTTTTGTCTCCAAGACTCACTGTTGAATGGGGGGGGGGTGACATCAACAAGTCAGTGAGCAAACACCTGTCCGTTCCCCTGTGCTTAGCCCTGTTGCTCCATTTTGCTTTCCTGTTGAGCTAGCTGTCCATGCTCCATTCATTCACAGGACTGTGACAAATCCAAGTCTCTACAGGGCCACCAGCATGGGATGGGGCTGCTGTGTCCAAAGGCAATGTGGGCTAGGGGTTTCTGGCACATCTGAAGATGCCAGATCAGGGCCTAGATTCCCACCGCCAGGCAGTGGTGAGACCCCTTGCTCTCTTGGTCCTGTCTGCTTTCGCAAGGCAGATTCTGTTTGCCTGGGCTCTGGGCCATCTCTGGCTCCTATCTCAGGCATGCTTCTCCACTGTGGACCAGTGAGGCAATAGTGTACAGGGTAGAGCTTATTGGCAAAGTTTCAGTCCTACATCTTTGTCCTGGTTCCTCATTCCAGGGGCAGAAGCCACAGTGACTGTCTGAGTGTTTCTACTGCTGTGATGAAACACAGTGACCAAAGGGCAAGTCGTGGAGGAAAGGGTTTATTTAGCTCACACTTCCACAGCACAGTTCATCAGAGGAGGAGGTCAGGAACTCAAGAAAGGCAGGAACCTGGAGGCAGGAGCTGATGCAGAGGCCATGGAGGGGGCTGCTTACTACTTGCTCAACCTGCTTTCTTATAGAACCCAGGACCACCAGGCCAGGGATGGCACCGCCCACCATGTGCTGGACCCTCCCCCATCAATCACTGCTTAAGAAAATGCCCTACATGGAGCTGGAGAGATGGCTCAGTGGTTAAGAGCATTGCCTGCTCTTCCAAAGGTCCTGAGTTCAATTTCCAGCAACCACATGGTGGCTCACAACCATCTGTAATGGGGTTTGGTGCCCTCTTCTGGCCTGCAGGCATACACACAGACAGAATATTGTATACATAATAAATAAAAAAAAAAAAAAAAACGCCCTACAGGCTTGCCTACAGCCTGATCTTATGGAGACATTTTCTCAACTGAGGCTCTGTCCCCTCTGATGACTCTAGCTTGTGTCAAGTTGACATAAACTAGCCAATACAGTGACCTTGCTTGTCACTGTCAGAGTGACAAAAGGCTTATGTGGGGTATTCACTCACCCAGCCAAGGCATGAGCTGTTCCTGAAACTATGGATGATGTCATCCCTACACAATGTGAATGTGTGTGTTGTGGGGTGTATGCCCATCTCCCAAAGTCCTACCCTCTGGTAGGCTTCAGATCCCGTGAAAAGCATGGGGGAAGGCTAGTTCCAGGATAGGCTCCAAAGCTACAGAGAAACCCTGTCTCGGAAAAAAAAAAATTCGATGGAGCACTTAACTTTTCCCAATTCTTTCCCAGCCACATTTCAGAGTAGATTTACCCGTGGATAGCCCAGTCTTTACGTCAGGCCATGCAGACTCAGTCCTTGTCTTTTTCTTATTCCGAACCTGCAAGTTCCCTTTCATCCTATTCTTCAGAGAAGGCCTGGCCCTGGGGATGCTCTCAGACGTGAACTTTTCTCAGACAGATGTCTGTGGGGCTGAGCCACAGAGTACATGCTCAATAGGAACCTGTCCCAGCCCTCTGGGAAGTCCCCTCGACACCCCAAAGTCTCAGAATCTTTGCTATTGTAAGAATTCCAGGTCCCCTGGCCTCATGAGAACATCAAGGGATGTAAGTTCCAGAATGCAGGGCCCTCAGCTCAGGTGGGAGAGGGCCTAGACCTGGGAGCTCAGGCTAGACACGGGCCCGGGTCTGTGCTCCACCCACTGTGGCTGTGGGCTCGGCAAACATCTCAACATGGGCCTGGAGCTGTATATGGACTTGCTGTCAGCACCTTGCCGCGCCGTCTACATCTTTGCCAAGAAGAATGGCATCCCCTTTGACTTCCAGTTTGTGGATCTCCTAAAAGGTCAGTCCTCAGCGCTGCCAGGAAGCCTGGTCCTGAGGGGCTCCCAGGGTGCCTAGTGAGAGTGCTTCTGAGGGTCAAAGGTCAGCAAGGGAACCAGCGGTGAAAGAGATACCAAGGTGCTCAGGCCTTGTCCCTATCTAGCCTAACCTTCGCCAGCCACCATGAATGGCAGTCTCCCTGTTGGGGTGCAGAGGATCTTTGGCGGTCAGGAAGGAGAGCTGCTAGGCCAGCCTCAGACTCTGAGCCAGAGCTTTGGCCATCACCTCTACAGGTCTCACATCTTGTTATCTGTAGAACCCACCAACCAGGCTGACGCAGGACACACCCATTACCATGGGACAGAGCATATAATACTCAGTCTGTCCCCACTCTCCCTCAGGGTGTGCCCACCCTCCTCCAGTCTGTGCCCA